CGAAGGGCATAGACTGCATTTTTCCTTTTAGCCACTCACATAGATTTGAGGAACACGTCAGATAGCAAATATGGGGTGCCCATGCCCTGTCCATGCCACCCACTTTGCAACCAAAATAAAGGCGGGGCGCTTTCTTAACGATGGGGGCCAAGTTTCGTTTTTCGTGATTTAAAAGTCACTTCTCTACAGATATAACAAACGTTGTTAGGATTATTGACACATCTACGCGACATTTTGTGTATTTTAGTGTTACAAATTTCTCATTTAAGTACTCACAACGACGTTTTTGCTGTTTACTACATAAGTATTCTAAGACGAAGTGAAACACAAAATCCGCACTCCACAAAACACTTGTTTGCCAAACAGAACTGAACCAATTTATTAATCATCCCTTAGGGATGTTGACTAGACCTGCAGAAAGAAATAAAACCTTCTCCACCCTTGCATAGGTTGTTCCTGAAGTAAGTAGTCCATTTCAATTCTAAAAATTACGAAAATTGAGCGAAACAGCTTGGTATGAATATCTTCGAAATGCGAACCAATCATGCAAAATGAATGTCATTTTCGTGTTTAGCAGCTAAAAATTAGTAAAAATTGGTTAGTTTCGTCTCCGATATATTTTGGCTGTTGAACAGTGTTATTTAAGATTAATTTTAATATAGTTCTAACTGCACCTAAATGTCGAGATGCTCAAATTGTCTCTATTGTTTGGGTTTTCTGACTAAAATTCTGTACGTATCTTTCATCTCCCCCACGTGTGTTATATGTCCCAGTTTCTTTTGTCATCGTAATAATATTCTATGAGGAATATAAATTACAGAGCTTCTCAATACGCAACTACATCTGCCTGTTAATCTTTCTGAAGTCCTCTCAAACACCCTCACTTAAGATGAGAGACTAAGTGTTGGCATTAATTAAACACTGTTACAGAAGTGCACTGTGTGTTGCAAATAAGCACTGAACACTGTATCCAACGAGTGCTAGAGGTAGAGACACCGAAGCACGAAGCTGACTAGTAACCTGCGTCTAGTGTTAGGTTAAAAAAGAGTGACACTTCACCTCTTTCATACATCTTCATGGCATAGTGCTTATAAGAAAGACAACTTTCGTCGTTTACCGCTATGCAAATACTTCATTTTTCTTCTTCTTTGTTTACTGACACTGTGGCAGTTGTACCAACAAGGTTGGTACAGTGGCAATTGCTATCCTCACTGCGGTTCCAACAAGGTGTTCTTCACTACATCAACATTTGATAATAGCGTTACATTCTTCCGACCATGCTGCTGCTTGCTACGTCACTCGCAGGCAGTGCCAGGGATCTTTAAATCGCGGCGTTACATAAGGCCCTTTGAGCAGAGTCGTTTAATACGCTTATAGCAGCTCAGCTGGTTAGTAAATTCTCAGCTTGCTATGGAACCTAAAAATTAATTTCTGTGTTTTCAAGAACCCGCCACTGAGAGCTACCCTGAAACAGTTTAATTCACTCGTAACATCCTACATATTTAATGACTATTTTAATATTACACCAACAAATTATCTTTTTGTTCGGGTTTCCCGACCAAATTTTTGTGTGTATTTCTCATCCCCAATGCGTGTTATAAACCTCGCTTATTTCCACCTTGATTTGATGTCTAATCTATAAGCAACGCACGAACTTACAGGATTTAAAATGCATAAAATCGAATGAGATAGAACAGGCTAATGATAATGATAATGAATGGTAAACAGACCTGGTTAAGGATTTCGAATGAAGTTGCCGTGACATAATTAAAATTATCATCCCGGTTTTCGACTGGATGCACTCAGGGAAACGACTAGCCTAAATCAGCGCAAATAGTAGTGACCTATATTCGAAGCCGGTACCTCGTAAGTACAAATTTAGAACGTTACCGTGACACCTACCTGCTTATTAGTTCGAATATATTTTCAGCAGTTGGTAAGCATGCTCAATTTATTACCTCAGTATACAGTCGCGTGACCATATCCAATGAATCATGTAATGTACATTTTAGTTTCCGCTTGGCATAAAATAACATCAGAATATTCTACATAATTTTATTGCTCGCGGATCGAAGTCAAAAATCAATGCTAGAATTATAGGCGTATGTGTTAGAAAGGCAAAACACACAGTCCCTGTTTCTAAAAGCCGAGCCATGATGGCTCACAGAGACGAAGTTCTAATCATTCTGAAGTTCTAGACTTCATCACAAGACAAGAGTAAGTCGCCATCTTTACCCCCGAGTTAAGAACCTAGAACCCCAGTACCACTTCGCTAGAAGACTGGGTTGGTACCACAAGAAGCCTAAACGTGGTGAAGAGAAAAATACCTCGTCCGTAGCATAATGAGAACTCTGCAGGATACATATCAAGTGATATTCTGCCTGATCCTACAAAACGGGATCTGCCCCGAGACGAGACTAATTTAATCTAAAACTTCACCTTCTATTTGTTTCGGAATATCGGAAAACTGAGCTCCCAAATACTTCTTGCATTTAGTTTAAGAGACTACATATATGCATCAAAATGGTTTAAAATCACTTTATAAATTAAAAGCACAGGCCAAAACAATGTTAAACACGTCACCTTGTCTTATACACGAGGTAACATGACAATGTCAATGGGGTAAGATAACACGCATGTCGTCAAAACATCGCTCACAATGATTATACGATTTTATTAATAAATGTATGTAACACTTGTAGTTATATTTTATAATATAAAAAGGGGTCTGAATTAACTAGGTCACTCGAATCTTATAATTAGTAGGCCTAGAGGATCCTTAATTAAGCACGTTTTCACAGGGGGTTGTAGATAATCTTGCCCTTGAAGCTGCCCTTTTCGACTTTTCTCAGTTGGCAAAACCTGTTCATAGCCTTCATGAAAGGTACTAGTTCTAACAGCATTCAAATATAAACGGAACCTTACTTTAAATTTATGGCCTACATTTATTATTCTCAAAAACAAATAACTGCAATACCTTTCCTTCTTTCCTTCACAAAACGTACATATGTACACCCGTTACAGAACAAGGACTTAGTATCAGCAGAGTAGCAAACACAAGCACTAGACGTTGCGTTGATTAAAAAGATCTTCGTTCATGTTTCCATAGTTGCCTACCAAGTACAAAATAGAACTTTAGATAAAATGACAAGCGTTTTGACTTACTGTTAAAGAATGCAAAGAAATAAATATTTCGATGAGCTCTATTAAACACTTAGTGAACTCGACTGTTTGATCTAGAGGTACGACCTAGTGACGGCGACTTACATTTCATGCACTGACAGTTCCATTAAAAGTTTTTATACTATTCCCTTTTCTTCCTTCCACTCCCCTCTGGTGGTCTATTCTGAAAACGCCAGATGCACAGAAAATGTAGACACGAGTAAAAAGTTATTGATCTTGACAGTGGATGATATAACACTGTCAAGCAATACAGTTAGTTTGCAAATGTATTGACCGATTCGTAGGTATTTAACGGATTTTGCATTAACTACAACCTTTCAGTAACATTAAAGAATGATTACGAACGGCGAATTTGGATATCAGAGAAAAATACTGGAGCCCTGAGCCAGATGGGTCTAATCCAGGGGTGGGGAACCTTTTCATGTTGGAAGGCCGCATTAATTTAGCTGTAATCAAATAAGGCCGCATTCCAGAAACTTCAATTAGATATACTTAAAAATGTACATTATTTTGTAAAAATCTAACTACCACGTACTTAATAATTTCAAAAAATGAAAACTATTTGTTAATTTTAAAGTTAACTAATCTTTTAATAACTTTGTTGTGTCTGATTTTTGTTGGAAAGCATTTGATTGTTTGGTCGCAGCATGGAGGTCCGCAGTGTCAGTTGGTCCTCTAGATGGGTATCCGTCATTTGTGACCTTAAGGGCGTCTTGAAAAATGTATTAATAAAGATAAAAGAATTTGTTCTGTAAAAATTGGATTCAGTCAAAAGGCCGCACTTAAGCACCTAGAAGGCCACATGTGGCCTTAAGGCCGCAGGTTCCCCACCTCTGGTCTAATCCACAGCCCCAAAATATATT